GGCAAATAACTGTACCAGGCTGACATACGATGAGGTACTGTTTTAGTTTTGTTCGTTTTACGACAAAACGTTATACTTGCTGCTTGTCAATGAAGGAGTTCGGTTTTTATTGTGTCCACTCTTTAGTTAAAATTAGTATGAAATAATCAAAAATTACACTTCGTTTATATTTCTCACTCAATTGCTAAAGAAGTCAAGATTTTGATATTTTAAAGATTTGTAAGGTTTTGGCACCTTCGTACTTAAGGTTTTTAATTACTCCTTAGCCTGTATCTAAATAAAACTTAAGAGGTTCTAACGCGGACAATACCCTACTTAGTTATCCGAATGTTAAGACCAAGGCCTTTCTTTTTGCCGCACCTAAGTTATGGAATGCTCTGCCAAGACATATCAGCGAATCCATTTATATTGACACTTTTATGAGCAAGTTGAAGACTCACCTTTTCAAAAAAGCATTTTGTACCACTTAGATTATAAGACTGTATTTTTAGCTTAGATTATAATTATTTTTAGCTTATAATTTTTAAGATTATGCTAACAGATCTTATCTTTTTAACTTTTAGTTAATAGTTTTTCTATTCTATATATATCTGTCTGGATTTGATAAAAGGTACCTCTAGAAATTTTTAGCAACAGTCTCATTTGAGGCTTGTTCAGTACTTGACCATTCTCGTTGTGTTTTTTAATGATCTTTTCAGTACAAAAATCCCCTTTAAAGCTGCAGTAGATCAAAACACATGTGATTAATATGCTGAATAAGAAATTATGGAGCCAAAAAATCAAATGCGTATAAGACCAAATAGGGCTGGGATACCTCTGGACAAAAGCACATGAAAATGACATAGGAATCTTGAACATTGTCAAATAAAGACTGAAAGACATCGAATTACAAAGATGGTTCAGTGACGTAAACAATGACTTAAGCTCAGCTCTCCCCTACCTATCATTTCCCATAATTCTCTACACTATGGCATTTGAAATCAGCGCGCGCGGTAGAAGTTGTTTTCCGTGGTCGGTTAATTTCTAGGTTTCTTTCTGGCCACCTGCAGCAAAGTTTTCCGGAAGGCATCATTAAGCCTTATGAAGGAACAAGTCTCACGATTGGCAAAGTCTGCGGTCGTCCAATATGTTACCCTATTTCGTCTAATTTTGGCTAAACGGGTGTAACACTGATCTCGGGCTTGAGACGGAAAGGCATCATATTGCGAGCTTTGATGTGGGCGGTGACGAGTCTCTGGCCTCAAAAAGTAGCTTTTAGGAGTCAAAACTATTCAGCGAGAGCAAAATTGATGCTGATTTCTGACCAGGCCAGAGACTTAGTAAAAATTTATTTTGGAGGCAGGCGTCCATGTGTCCCTTTCAAAACGGCTCGTCTACATCCGGGATCTTGAATAAATCGACTGTGTCAGCAAAGTTTACATGTGATGATTTATGTGGAGAAAGCGAGAGTTATATATTGAGAGAGAGTAATGTGATGATATNTCCCTTTCAAAACGGCTCGTCTACATCCGGGATCTTGAATAAATCGACTGTGTCAGCAAAGTTTACATGTGATGATTTATGTGGAGAAAGCGAGAGTTATATATTGAGAGAGAGTAATGTGATGATATTTCGCCCGTATTAAGTGTGGAAACATTGTGTCTAGTTGGTTGTGGATAGTTTTATCAGTGCCGCGAACGTGGTTAATTGTGTGATTTCCTGAAGTTGTTGACAGACAAATTTCAGGTGTGTGGTGGCGCTCATGTTATACGAATATTGTGTACAAGCATGAAAACGCTTTGTAAGTGTTTAGTTGAAGTGATTTTGTGTCAGACAACCGATTGTGGGGTCAAGAAAGGTGGATTCTAGGTCTGTTTTAGTCGGGCATCTCGCCATGAGCCTCATAGTTTAAGAGACTGAAAGGTCATTATTTCTGTTCTTTTAAATGTTGTTCATTTCGTTACAAATCTGTCGCTTTTCCCAAGGGCAACTTTTCGTGTGTTTCCAGCGATTAATTTCGTCCGTTTTAAGCCCTAAATTTTCAACTGCTTTTTATTGACCTCAAGGGTCAAATTGTTAAAACTTACTTGAAATTTCTAGAGGTACCTTTTATCAAATTCAGACAGATATATATATTATCATCTTAGTTTATAATTATTCATTATTATTATTATTATTATTATTATTAGTATTACTATTATTGTTTTTTTCCTATGGCGCATTTGAATTTATTTATATAGATATGTGCGCCTTATAAGTCAAAGTGCAGCATCACAAGTATTCTCAAACTCGGCTGACCTTTCCGGGAGAACAGCCATAGAAACACATTAATTCATCCCCCAAGATTTTTAAAAACCATTTTCAATACTTTTTAGCATTTTTTCTTACCTGTCCTAAACCAAAAAGTGTCATTGCTCCTCAAGGCCATTCAATTTAAAAATAACAACCTCGCTCTACGAGGTCGGTCATTATTATTAAGAAGGCCTTGGACCACAGTCACGACAGTCAACTTTTTTTATTG